TACCTACAATGGTGATTCAATGTTGTAATTAGACACAAGAATGTTATCTCGATATACGGGTACATTCGTACATTTTATGAAATAATTATACATTTTAAACAAATCAATTAGGTGCGCTTTCAATCAATGGAATAAATTAGGTGCCCTTACAATGGAATACTTCATTTATAATGTAACAAATACAACAGACCAAAGATATTTTATGTATTTCATTATTTCATTTGGTCCAAAATGAAGGACAACGGTGACAAAAGCGAAATATAAATACATGTATATAAAGCGCAAATACATGTATATATTTACTTTTTTGTTATAGTTCTCTTTTTGCTCTACTTTGTCGTCGGCTGTTAACAAACTTTGAATCAGGAATGATATATTATTAATATAAACTCTGCGGCTTCTTTATTATCGATATATATATAAAATACATTGTTTAATACAATTTATTTTTGATAAATGTCCATTTAAATTCATTTGAAAGTTCACGGAACATTTAATTCGTTTATTCCCAGGTCGTTTTCACCACTAAATGTATGCATAAATGTTGCCTTGGCAATCTATTTTATTGCCATTAATACAAATTATTTTTTTAGAAGTATGATATTTGACAGTAAATAAAGATTGATGATGAATAGTTTGGAACGTATTAAACAGTATGGAGCACGGCCACGGTCATTAATCATTACCATAGAGAGAATATATCCCGTACCCGCAGCGAGCTAATCCGTATGGGTAAGACTATAATCCCGTACCAGGAACATTTACAAGCATGTCGTCTTTCAGTCACAGAAGCAAAAGTATTTTATTTGACTTGCGTCAACACATTTTCTTTCAAAACTGTGAAGAGACAGAATGTTTTTTTTCCAGCAAACGGTAACCAAATTGCGCACCGCTTAAAGGTCTGCGTTCATTTAAAAAGGGAAACTATAAAACTTTTTCACAATGGCTTTGTGGGCATCTTCACACAGTTTTCGGGGTGATTTATTGTTTGATATTGCTTAAAGCTACTCTAGCGTTTGTATATAAAAAGGTTAATCTAGGGGCATGAAAAAACGGTGACTATATAGGTAAGTAACTAAGTATATATTTACTTGAAATAAACCCTCTTTCTTATCGAATGACTCTCCACCATGAAGGTTAAAACGAGCATACACTCGGTATTTCTTTAACTAATTATAGTAATTGAAACGAAATCTGACAATTTATCGAATGATGACACTTTTTTGTAAACGGAACTTTCACATTTGTAAAATGCGAAAAAGGAAGTAAAAAAGGGAATTATTTCAGTATTCTTGTCAAAAGTGCACTGCCAACAAGTTTCAGAACTTGATTCAAACACATTTCAAGCATTCAAATTATTTTTAAGCATACATATTTTAAGCATATTTAAACATTTGTTGATTTTTCGCGTGGCCTTTAAAGAAACAGGTTAAATTAGAATCCAAACGTCAAATCCTTTTAAAAAATACATACATACACTCTCCGAAATTGCTTTTAAAACATGGACGAGTTGGATGAGCTGTAAATCAGTTGCATTACTGACAAGATAAAACCTGGTTGATCTAAAATTGTTTTGATGTAAAATATGTGAGTATTCGCCATTATCTTATCATGTCACGATTGAAGCTTTGAAAATTTCCCCCCTAAATTCTAGATCAGCTCCTGTTTTAGAGAACGGAGAGGAAATGTTAGCAGACGACATTGGGCTATTGCACGAGTTTCGGGCAATTTCCATCGAGGATCGCAGACAAATGATCATTTATTGACACGATGGTTAATTTAACAAGATTTTCTGTAGATTTTACTGCTAATCAGTGCCAGATGCGTTACTATTTTAAATCCCATATCTTTTAAATGATCCATCATTTTCATCAATCAATTTCACCTTTTTTTTTTACTTTTTTGGAGGAGCATAGGGTTGGCGGGGGATGTTGTGATTCAAATGGATGGAGGAAGGCATTGGAAAGGAAGCTTACGACACTATTCCATATCTATCCCAATTAAATGCAACTTAACTTAATCTTTAAGTCATGCCGATAGATATAGATAGCTAAATGTTTTAACAAAGTACTTATTTAAAGTTCTTTGACAGAATTCATTTAGCTTAAATAATCTCGTAAAAAAATTAAAAGTTGAGTCATTAATCTTTCTACCCATTGTAATGAATTGTAGGGGAAAACGTATTTACTGTGTAAACTTACTTGCTTTCAATTCCAGAGACAACATTAGAACGCAAATAATATAAGAACATTGATTTATTAGCCATTTGAATTGAAATTCATTAATTACATCGTAGTTATTTCAGGCTACATTCTCAGCCGTTTTAGTTCCTTCAGAGAATTAAAATTGACCTTAACGCTCTGTGATCATGCACGCGGGCTTTATCACGTGCATGCCCAATCACGGTGTCTTGATAGGAAATTGCCTAATTAACTCGTGTAAGCTCGTACACGTTTTAATTACCGTCAAAGTGCTAAGAACCATTTGGTGAAATCGTTCCGTACTCGAATGAGGAATTTGAGTCCGAATTTCGACACACTTTAATTATTGATTAGCAGACGACATTCAATCAGCAGACGGCATTCAATGTAGCCCTACCGGTATGAAATATAACAAAAAGGAACTTTTTCACCGGAATGACTGACAGGAAAATGGGCATTATGTTCGAATGAAGTGGCATCACATAGTTGTTGATATTTTCTAAAACTTCTTTAAATAAAATGGAGCTGAATCGATGAAGCGGGTCAGTTCGCCTTTTATTTTCGTGCCAATGAAATCCAATTAACCATTTTACCTTTTATACGAAATGAATGGAATTAATGAAAAGGGATCGACTTTCAATGTTTAACCTGAATATTGCTAAAACATGTTTTTCGCGTCCTTCAAATGATGTGAAACTCGTAGACACTTTGTCTAATCTAAATCTACTGGAAATTCTACATGTCTTTTTTCATTAATATTTGGCGTCTGTTATCAAAGCTTTGCGGGCTTTTAGTATTTATTCTGTATTAAGATGCCACTTTTTTCTCAGGGCCACTTCGGTCAGTATCAAAAAATAAAAGTCAGTTTGTATTAATGAGAGATTCCACTGGTACTTAAAAAACGGAAAACTATCTTTTCAAGCATTTCATTTGTGAAGAGTTCATATCTGCTTGTGTCGATTTTGTAATTCTTCATGGTCTGAATTCACTTTCGAATTTGCAATTGTTTGTTGTTGTTGTTTTTATTATTTTTATTATGATTTTGGTCATTTCAGTATTTCTTATTTACGAGCACATAATGCAAGAACTCTTTTTTTACATTTCTGTTGGGAAACGTATAAAGAAGAATCATGAAAAAAAAATGACAGTGGAAAAAAACTGATCAAAATCAATAGTTATCATTTCTACAATTGTTTTTGTTTTTTCTGAAAGCCATAAAACAATGGCTCCTTGATCGTAGAAATAGACAGGAAGAACACGTCATCGAGAAATATTGCCAGGTCATTGAAAATATCAGGCAAAACTGTTCGCGTATCAATCTGTAACTTGATGCCATAACCAAATTATTGTGATGAAAGAGCAGATATAATTCAATTTTCTATTAGTTACTTGAAAAGTGTCATTTTAAAACACAGATCTAGTAAAATTGAGCCTTTCCAGAGTTTGTTGTAACCACTGACTTAGAAACCATATGCGAAAAAAAATTATATACGGAACAGAACGGCCGTTACGACAGGAAATAGGAGTTTTACGGAAGACCGTAGTATGTAATTTAGTACTGTAGTCCTATGACAAATAAATTGAGACGCATATGGCTGTAACCACATGGAGACACTTCAACTTTTCTTATATATCGATTGTAGAACATTTTATTCAAACCTCAAATTTCCTACACGCCATCTCAGAAATAAATAGACTTTTAGTTAGATCAGTTCCGGATGAATCCGAATGTCTATAGTTTAATTAAGTAAAAAATGAAACCAAAACTTAATTATAAAACACCGTATAGGGTTTGCATGACAAATTTCGTGCATTGTAAAACATTTGATTTACTCTCCTATAGCTTAACTCGTTCCCGCACTTTGCCCAGGGCCAGAAAATAAGACGCTTTGATAAATATCTATCTAAAATATTACTATTGTACAACATTTTGATACATAAACAAAAGGACTAACTTTCTAGATATGTCATTATAATTTAACACACTTCAATATAGATGCAAATAAAGATAAAAATAAAAAGTGGGGAAGGGGGCTGGCTTATTTAACTTCTGTAATGTTATCTTTTCTTTGAAGGAGAGAAAAGAACAATTGTTATCATAGTGCGAATCGATTTAAAGTGATTATCACCTATTTTGTTCCGACAAATTCTTTTCTTTTGTTCATTCTAACGAGATTAAAAAATCGCCGCTGATCAATTAAAACGAATTAAAGAATGAGAAAAATTTTAAGATTCGGTGATAATGATAATAGACACTAGCCTTTGATCATTGACCTTTTCGTTACACTTAAGTTATTATCAATGGATTTTGAACATAGTACGAAAATAGTATGATTTTTATGGCATATAGATGCAATTATTCGGCCATGATGAAAGATAATATAATTTCTAACGTGTGCCAATAACTGTTAAACAGGGAAATAATTCCCGTACATAAATGCCAATACTTATATATCGGCAATATATCCCAAATTTATACATCATTTTATATAAAATTTATCACCTAGGACATATTTCGCATCCAATTCATAGTATCGCAAAATAACAGATATTTACGTGTTATTACTTTAAATTTACTTAATATGGCCTCTTCTTACCAGCTTTAACAGCCCAGTAAGTAGAATTATAAAAAAGCAAGTATATAAGCATGTATTGTAAATAATACATCAGAATTTGCGTGCAAGCAAATATGGACATGAAATATTATCACAAGCTATCTCCAGCAATTAAAAACTAAGATTTTGGGTTCGCTACTATAAATAAAATTTATATTTTGTAATATAATGTAGATAAGCCTACCTCTAATAGTATCTCGAAACTGTCTTGGCCGGGTTCATCAAGTGCACAGTTCATCTGGCTGTGGTTCATCATACCATTCTCCTCTAGTGAAAAACTCACTTCTTTTTTCTTCTTCTCTGTGAAGCTTGTATCCATAGGGAGAGGGAAAATATTGTCCACTTCTTCATTGTTCTTCGTATACATGTTATCGTTCAGCACCTTTTGTCGTTGTTTGTCGTCCCGACGGCGGGAATCGAGCCGACGGATAATACATATGGTAACTATGATCCCGGCAGATATTAGAATCGTTAAGGCAGCAACAACAACAACTATAACAAAGTTTTTATTCGGTTCTTCGGTAGATGAAGATAAGGTTTCGTTATCTGTTGTTATGAATATACGTAACATGGCCGTCGCCGGCTTGGTGCCATCCCCGCTATCCCGAACTGTTATTTTCAGTAAATACATTTTACCGACGTAATTAGTGTTTTCTAAAGGAGCTGATAAAATAACATCACCGCTAAGTGGATCTATGGAAAAGAAGTTTGTTTTGTTCTCCGTAGTCATAGAGTACCGTAAGTTCGAGTTATCCGTGTATGGCTCGTCTAAGTCGTATGCAATGACGTTATATACGATTGTTCTTGGTGACGTAAGGAATGAAACGTTTACGGTATTATTACCGGGTTTAGGATATTGAATGACAGGGTCGTTGTCGTTTTTGTCTACAATAAACACAGTTACTTTAGCTGTACTGAAAAGCCGCGATTACTGGCGTCTGTAGCGACAACTTCAAATGTATATTCGTCTTTTACTTCTCTATCCAATTCTCTATCTGTTTTGATTACCCCGTCTTCCAGAACAACGAATGGAACCTCAGGTTGACCTGGTTTCAACGAAAACTTTGTTATTGCATTACTGCTTTTGTCATTATCCTTTGCACTTAGTCGGTCCACGGACGTATCTGCGGGGAGATTTTCGTCTAACCAGAAACGGAATAAGGTTTGGTCGAATACAGGTTTCTCGTCGTTTTGGTCATTGATAGTAACAATCACAGATGTAGTTCCTGTTAGCGCTGGCACACCATTATCCTTCGCATAGATTGTTAGTGAGACCCCTTGACCTTCTTTAGATTCCTTGTCAAAGACTTTATTTGCCATGACCATACCAGTCTTCGAGTCGACATATGCATATTTAGAAGAAGTAGTTGCCATAAAGTAAGTTATATCGCTATTATTGCCGAAGTCAAGATCGAATGCTTTAACTGTTATAATTTCATCACCGATTTCATTATTTTCGTCAATATTTGTGAAGTACCGCTGCTGTCTAAATCTGGGCGGATTGTCATTCTCGTCGTTTATATGCACTAGGAAGCTTTTTGTATTACCTAGGGGAGGTACACCTTTATCTTCGCATCGGATACTAACGTTGTGAGAAGCTGATCGCTCACGATCCAATGACCTTGACACTATCACTTTGTACTCGTGCACGTCATATCGTTGTAGGCCGAAAACGTCACTAATCACGGAACAATTCACATTACCATTACGACCAGAGTCGCGGTCCACTATCGCCACGTGAGCTACAACAGCGCCGATATTGGCATACTCTGAAACCCTGGAGTAGTTGGCATTTGAGAGGAGATTGAGATGAATTTCCGGTGCACTATTTGACGTATCTAAAACAGAAACATCTACAAATGTCTGAGTAGTTAGAGGGGGGTTCCCCTGATCCGTCGCTTCCACAATCAGCCTGAAAGTATTACCAGCGTCCGAGTCTAATTTTTCTTTAATCTTTAAGTGACCTAGCCTTTCGTCTATACTAAAATACTTTAAATTGTTTTTTGGTTGAAATGAGCTTAGTTTAAACCTGACTTTCCCATTGTCGCCGAGATCGTCATCAGTCACTTTTAACGTGAGTATGACGTCATTAACGTTAACGTCTTCGTTAACAGTGATGTCATAGGAAGATTTTTCAAACACAGGACTGTTATCATTAATATCCAATACCGAAACATTCACCAATAATGTACCAATTTTAGGCGTTGGTCCCCCATCCTTTGCTATGATATAGAATTGATAAGAATCTTTAACTTCCCTGTCTAATTTCTCCTTTACAATGAGATTTATTTTGGAACTGCCGTCTAACTTTTTCGAAAATGTTAAGTTGAAGGGTAACGCCTCTCCCGTCATTTTGGGTTGCAGATCGTAACTTTTTAACGAAAACTGCTCACTTGTGTCTTTGTCACGGGCACCTTCTATAGTAATACTACTTCCGGTTAGGACTGATTCCGATAGAGGTAAGTTTAGACTGGATTTATTGAAAGTTGGAGCATTGTCATTTATGTCTTCTACAATCACTATGATATTGACAACATCGAAAAAGCCGTCATTTAAAACAGTTTGAGCGGCCACGTCGAGTGATATTTCGCACGTGGTGGTAAATTCACACAGAACTTCCCTGTCAATGATTTGTTTAGTTGTTAAATTACCACTTATTTCTTCCACTTCAAACAGAGACTCGTACTCGTTACCTTGTTTCATTAACGTGAACCGAAGTTCATCCCGGTCACTCTTGTATTGTTCAAGTATATTACCCACAACGTATCCGATCTTTTCCTCCTCTTTCATTCGAAATGTAAACGTTTCAGAAAAAACACTAGAAACAGATATTAATATCGTTACAGTCAATAAAAATCCTTTTACTTTGCAATCATCCATTGTGTTCCCCTCACAAGTTTACAATGAAAGTTAATTAATATAAACTGAATGATAAATGAAAGTACATCAAACGCTTGTCAATGGCTGAATACCGTCGTGTCAATTGTGATCTGACAGAGTTCAAGTGTTTTAACAGTAATGTCATTCATTAATAGTTGTTTATTTTTCACCTGTTGTAATTCTCTTTACCTACAGTCATAACACTAAGGAAATATCATACCTGTGATGGGCATCTGGTTCACTGATATCTGGACACGAATCTATAATAATCCCTCTAATATTTCCAGATTCCGAAAAAAAAATACGCTGATATCTTCTCATAAATAAGGCTGATTGTTTTAACCACTAACATATCTTTGTACCAAATAATTAAATCTCTCCGATACCATCTTATACCGCGTAGGAATATGTTTGTGATATTTCACTAATAGTCCTGAATAATTTAATACTTTTTCGCCGATTATATAAGTTTCGTTTAATTTCAATTCACTACATCTTCTAAAAATATCGGATAATAACAGCAAATCCCACTACGCTACCGCTGTGTATAAATGTTAAATGCACCAATAGCGCTCCGAGAACGTTTTTCACTTCGCCTTTAATCCCGTGTTACGCTCCAGTGGAACTCTTTTCACTCCAGACTCCGGGATGTTGATTATCATGTCATATTTGGTTTATAAAGTAAAATAATATAGCTTATAATGTACCATATCAATGTGTTTATTCAATCACTCTGTATGTATCCAAAGTTCTTGTTGGTAGATTGCCCTTTAATTACCAAAATCCGAGCGTTCTAACAAAGGTGATTACAAACACGTTTAACGAATTTTCTGCTTCGATCAAACCACCTGAATGATCGTATATTCTATTTTCTCCATTCAATGTCAATCATAGCGGAAAATAGGCATTTAACAGACGTTATTTCATGCCGCGAATTATATAATATAAAGACAGAGGCTTCTTAGTGCCGCTAATTACTGATATCTCCTCCCAATAAACCTATAATTAGCACCTTCGCAGCATCAATGGGATCATCAGCTTTTCACAATCATCGAGTTGTAGTAAATTTCTTAAGTAATAGATTATCCCCTTTTCGATTTAAATTGTCACCGTTGGACCACTTTTCGTTATTTTATTCTCACTACCGGATATCGAGTCCGAATTCGCTGTACCCCCACTGACGAAATCCAAATACACTTTAAAACCCAGCGCTTCGTGAAATAACCCTATTATTTACCGATAATTTCCCGATAAAATCTTACTGTAATACAATATCTTCACTACAGTAATGAAAGTTATGACATTTCGCAGTTATTTTAATAGTGTTAATCGTGCTGCGTTCCTTTTCACACTTCACTGCACCGCGAAATAGATTTAAAGCACTAATTGGCTAAAATAGCCAAAATATCTATTTCCGTCCGTCACTAATCCTTTTCGCACGTCTTGTTGGAATAGTACTTTTCGCGTCAATGTAACTATAACGCGTCTTTGATAAAAAGTGTTATTTTACTAAACGCTTATACCAATTTTGAATGAAGTTACTCCAATGATATCTACACTCGTTATAAAGACCCAGTGAACATTTTAGTCATGTCTTCTTGTCCCTTCTCCATTTGACAAATTTGTTTTTACACAGTCAGTTGACTTCGAGACGTTGCCGGTAGAGCTTTGATAAGAGATGTGAAAGTGACAATATCTAGCGATTTGTATGCTTTGTTAGGGCAAGTCGATTGTTATCTGTTTTACCTATGCTCTGTTCACTTGCTCACAGTTGCCCAGAGGGTAAATTTGTCGCCTTTGACCAATGCACGACTATTCATGCTTAGGCGAACAATTTAGTGCCTTAGGACAAATTAACTTTGATCCTTTTTATTAAAATACAAAGCGGTTCAAATATCTTTAAACAATCTCGATAATTATACATACAAGGTAAAAAAAAATCTCCAAGAAAAATGCGCACATTTTAATTTCATTAATTACAAAGGCGGGTTAATTGTCTTTTCGTGGAAAAGAATGCATTTTAAGCCGATTTTAAAACAAGTAATTTGACATAACGACCACTTAACGTTGAGAGAATGATTTCTTTTAAAGACAGTATCTTCTAATGAAGTTTGACACGATTATACAATTAACACAAGCTAACCTAGAGTTGTTTTGTTAGTTTGTTTAAAAATAAACATGAATTAAAACATGCATTTGTAATAAAGTTAATGTTATCATAAAGCAAAAACACAAAAACAGAGAAACTTGTACATTTATTATGACACTGTTTATAATGAAGTAACTGAATAAGTAAGTGATTGAGCAACAATTTTTAAGTCTGTCATAGCAGTCGCCAACTCTTGCTGGCCGTTTCGGCTCTCTAGTGATCTTTAGTTTACTAATTGAATTTTAGTCTTCGAATTTAATAAAGCGTAATCAGTGGCAGATGATTTAGAAAGATTGCTCGAGATAAGAGATTATGATGTTCCCACTTGCGTTGATAATCCTATTACATAGCACGGTCATTTTCCGTCGGCACAATTGCTATTTTCACAGGCCCTCGTTAATGGCAATATATCATGGTAATCAATATATAATCATTATAATATACCATGTTTGATATAAATGGTCTGTAAATATTTACATTCCAGATAATCCTAAGCTTTTCAAAAAAAAATTACAAAGTTAAATCTGAACAGAAGGGAAAACCGTATGACTTCCAAACATAAACTCTAGGATCAAAGAGTTGCGGTGAACGCTTCTGTACCAATAGTTGAACAATACAATTGCTTGAACAAATGTCTGACAAATATTTAACTTTAATAGAAATAATTCAAATTGTAAATGAATTCTTCTAAATACTTTGTTATCGGCGTAAACCACGTTTCACAACAAACGGCATTACTATGATATAAAAACTTGATCAAAGTGGTAAATATTTTAATCTTTCTTCAACAGACACTATTAATTAAAAGGTACTTTGCCTTCTTGAAAACATTTAGTGAAATCTTTAATTCAATTTTATATTCGCACAAAAACACACGAACTTTAAGATTCATATATAATTGAGCATGATACAAAATCGTTTTTGGCTTAAAATAAAATTTCAAACGAGAATAAAACATGCTACTTTTCCATGAGTTATTCCAGGAAAATGTTTTGCTTGATATCAGTTAATTTTTGCGTGCATTTCGTGCACAAAATTGTTTCCTTCAATATCAGAATACTTCAGATTGTACAAATACCTGTAAGGTTTAAAAGGATCATTTTCAAACGCGTAATTTGTTTATAATTTAGATGTCGTACACGTGTGGATCGGTGGCGTTGCCAAAACAATAAATTAGACAGAAACAGAGAAATTACTTATGAATTAGTGTTACTCAAGATAGATTCTCGTAAATATTTTCCAACATCTTTCGGGGGATTTAAGTACCTCAAAGATGCTTTAACTTTGTATTCTATTGCCATAGCAACTGTATTACAGTTAACCAAAATTTCTTAACGGTTACGCTGATTAAAATACAAATACATAAAAATGTACACCTCAACCACGCCTTGTTACTTTAATATATTTTCTTAGTTTTTTAGTTTCGAATTTTATGGTCAGATTTTGTTAGTATACTCACATCAAAGGCATCTTTACGCCATTGCAATTGATAGATGAGCAGACGTTCGGCCCGAAAGTATCACTTCAAACAACTTTCTTGCATATCACAAACAAACAATTGAATGATTTATAGATTGTTAACAGTTCAACGTTTTGACCATTTAGTATACAACGGCAATAACCATGGTAATTTGGTTATGAAAACGATCTTCTCTAAGTCAATTCAAATTCTTGCAACCGTCATCTTATAAGAATGCGTACGAGCGCACGAGCCTACATGCAGAGTATTTTAAATCATATTAAATCGTTGAGATAAGAAAAATGATAAGTCTGGTGCATCAATATCATTTATGATAGAAAACACTGTCTAACAGCACTTGTTACACGAGTTTTTTGTGCTTGTCTTATCAAATCCTATGTAATAATTTCAAGTTTTACATCAATTCTAAGTTAGAACGGATATGCCCACCAACCGGTTAGATATACTTTCTAATTAAGCATAAAGTACGGTATAACACAAAAAATATTGGCATGGACTCGGGCTAATGATATGATAATCTGATATATCTGATATCTCACTGCTTACTACAAGATATAACAAGATTCTACACTCGGCAAAATCAACGTAATATTTACAAAATTGCCCGAACTCTCAGATCGTAGAATTTTAAGATCCGCGTAAATCCAAAGATGGGGCAGTTGGACAAGTTTTACTTGTTTCCGTTCAAAATATCATTATATTAAATACATTATCGGACGACCTATGATGCTATAGCTATCTAGATAAACAAAATACTTCAAGAAACAACAGGGAAGCACTGATATATTGCCTATTTACCGATAACCGTTAGTATGTCAAATTCAGGTAGACTCATCAATGTTTAGAAACTATAAACATAAAACTAAGCATTTTACTGTCTGGGATGAAATTTCTACAAATTGTGAAAATGGCATACATGTACGAATTTGAGAGAACATCTTAAGAAAAATTGAAAATCGTCAAAATTTAAGTTATGAGTTTTATTCAATATTGTAAAACAATAATGTGAACTGGTAAGCGCCACATTGCATAAATGTATCATATGCGAAAAATCGTTTCGGGTGATTTATGATGTAATCTAATGGAAAAAAACAGTAAAAATAAAAATGAAATTCTGATCTACCATATGCAGTATAACCAAGTCTCGGAAACTTAATAAAAAAGTTTGGACTACTAGTCATAATTGTATAATCTGACCGATTTAATGTGTTAAACTTAAGTGACGGTGTTCAAACATCCACTTGAATACGGTAATTCTTGTGCACTTATACTTTGAAAGACAGATTAAGACATACTTGCAAAGTCATTGAAGAACAAATTCTAAAATGTATTTTCATTCCATGTATAACATTAAGTGGCTAGCAATTTGCGGTATTTTCCATAGTACTTCTTTCTATCTCACCGCTCTTGCATGAGACGCTATTACTAAATTCTTTAAAATCATAATAATTATACACGTTTAATAATTAATAGGTGGCTCGTACTAAAATGGTTAAAATGAAAAAAAAGTGAACAGAAAATGAGGGAGAAAAAAGGCATCTTGAAAGAGAGACTTTTAATAGACCTTTACAATACCGTTTTCCTTTTAGACATTTAGGCCGATGGGACAAAAACATTGAAGACTGAAATTAAACAGAATTGGGAACGCCCCCGAACAATATTATTGAAATGGATAGAAGATGCGTAATACTCGGCGCGGCAAAGATGAAAAGATTTATATTGAAATCGCCGACAATAGCTTTTGATTGCATTTACGTGTCTTTGATACGTGTACATATTTAGACATTGATACCGCATACAATTATGGTTGATATCTTCATTAAATAAGCCATATATCATTCCTTCAAATTTCTTTAAATATTTCAACAAAATCTTGTGATAAAATGTCACGTAACCAGTAGCCGAAAATGTAAAGCGCCTCTCCTGGTGTAAACAGAGGGGACGGGTGCGGATTTAAGGTGTTACAATTGCTGGGCAAGATAGTATTGTTAATGAAATATATCCGAGCAAATCTCAAGTTGTCCGAGTTAAATTGCTCAAACCGACTGAAATATTTCTAATTTACAATTTATTGTCAATTATGCAGATTAAGATAAGGTCGTCAGCCGGTTTGATTTCCCGCCATCAAAACTAAACGTCCTTCACATTGATAATATCAGAATGGAACATATTTCATTACTCAGTATGTTTTGAACATGTTCCTTGTTATTACACAAATATGCAGCATAATTGCAAATCAATCTAACATAATATCAACATTTATCAATTTTACTATGTTGGATGGCCTTATTCATTTCCTCTTTAACTCTTTTAGGTTCTACTACTTAGCAAAGTTTTGCTTTGTCAGATTTTAACGCCAGTTTAAAATGCAGAGAACCTGATATCTTGAACCACTTAATTTAATTGCGTTTTAATATCATTTTTCATGTCTTTTTGTCAATTAAACAATCAAATGAATTATCAATTCCATTGTATATCTATTCTGACACATTAATTTTTTCACCCAACGCTTCCGGACAATGCAAGATTCGTTGAAAGATAAATATTAAAGCTGGTAAGAAAGCAGTAAATTAGAACGTTTTATTGAATATATAATCATAAAATACGTCGTAATATAAGTGTCACATATCCTAATTAGATAATGAAAATACAATAAGGTGAAATAATAACTATTTAGAAGAAAATAATCAAGATAATGATATATTTGCTGAAGGCAAGGCTACATTTACGGGAAATAGCTGATGGGCACTAATAAAGAAAACGAGGATTTAGAATTATAATGTTTTATAAAATATTAGCACGGATATGTTTTGATAAATCAAAACATAACTTTATAGACTAAAATATAATTTGTAACTAAGGGAAATTGGCCCTAAACTGCTGGAACCGAAAGGGATTAGTCTTTGTCATCGGTATAGAGGTTGACCAGTCTAA